TGATTCCATCAGGTGATCAGGCTATTGCCAGTATAGATATGGTCACAGGTTTGATTCCATCAGGTGATCAGGGTATTGACAGTATGTATATAATAGTCACAGGTTTGATTCCATCAGGTGATCAGGCTATTGACAGTATATATATAGTCACAGGTTTGATTCCATCAGGAGATCAGGCTATTGACAGTATGTATAGTCACACGTTTGATTCCATCAGGTGATCAGGCTATTTACAGTATATATATATGGTCACAGCTTGATTCCATCAGGTGAGCAGGCTATTGCCAGTATAGATATGGTCACAGGTTTGATTCAATCCGGTGATCAGGCTATTGACAGTATATATATAGTCACAGGTGATTCCATCAGGTGATCAGGCTATTGTCAGTATGGTCACAGGTTTGATTCCATCAGGCGATCAGGCTATTGACAGTATATATATAAAGGTCACAGGTTTGATTACATCAGGTGATCAGGCTATTGACAGTATGGACACAGGTTTGATTCCATCAGGAGATCAGGCTATTGACAGTATGTATAGTCACACGTTCGATTCCATCAGGTGATCAGGCTATTGACGGTATATATATGGTCACAGGTTTGATTCCATCATGTGATCAGGCTATTGACAGTATATATGGACACAGGTTTGTTTCCATCAGGTGAGCAGGCTATTGACAGTATGGTCACAGGTTTGATTCCATCAGGCGATCAGGCTATTGACAGTATATATATAGTCACAGGTGATTCCATCAGGTGATCAGGCTATTGTCAGTATATATATGGTCTCAGGTTTGATTCCATCAGGTGATCAGGGTATTGACAGTATTTATATAATAGTCACAGGTTTGATTCCATCAGGTGATCCGGCTATTGACAGTATATATATAGTCACAGGTTTGATTCCATCAAGTGATCAGGCTATTGACAGTATATATATAAAGGTCACAGGTTTGATTCCATCAGGTGATCCGGCTATTGACAGTATATTTATAGTCACAGGTTTGATTCCATCAGGTGATAAGGATATTGACAGTATATATATGGTCACAGGTTGGATTCCATCAGGTGATCAGGCTATTGACAGTATATATGGACACAGGTTTGTTTCCATCAGGTGAGCAGGCTATTGACAGTATAGATATGGTCACAGGTTTGATTCCATCAGGGGATAAGGCTATTGACAGTATATATGGTCACAGGATTGTTTCCATCAGGTGATCAGGCTATTGACAGTATATCTATATGGTCACAGCTTGATTCCATAAGGGGATTAGGCTCTTGCCAGTATAGATATGGTCACAGGTTTGATTCCATCAGGCGATCAGGCTATTGACAGTATATATATAGTCACAGGTGATTCCATCAGGTGATCAGGCTATTGTCAGTATATATATGGTCTCAGGTTTGATTCCATCAGGTGATCAGGGTATTGACAGGATGTATATAATAGTCACAGGTTTGATTGCATCAGGTGATCAGGCTATTGACAGTATGGTATATGGTCACAGGTTTGATTCCATCAGGCGATCAGGCTATTGACAGTATATATATAAAGGTCACAGGTTTGATTACATCAGGTGATCAGGCTATTGACAGTAGGGTCACAGGTTTGATTCCATCAGGTGATCAGGGCATTGACAGTATGTATATAATAGTCACAGGTTTGATTGCATCAGGTGATCAGGCTATTGACAGTATAGATATAGTCACAGGTTTGATTCCATCAGGTGATCAGGCTATTGACAGTATGGTCACAGGTTTGATTCCATCAGGTGATAAGGCTATTGACAGTATATATATGGTCACAGGTTTGATTCCATCAGGTGATCAGGCTATTGACAGTATGTATAGTCACACGTTTGATTCCATCAGGTGATCAGGCTATTGACAGTATGTATAGTCACACGTTTGATTCCATCAGGTGATCAGGCTATTGACAGTATGTATAGTCACACGTTTGATTCCATCAGGTGATCAGGCTATTGACAGTATAGATATGGTCACAGGTTTGAATCCATCAGGTGATCAGAATAATTTGTGTCCTTCAGCTAGATAGTTTAAACTTTGTTGTGTATTACAGTTTCTATGGTGTTTTCAAGTAGTACAGTACTATAAATAAGTTTATGGAAATCCACACCCATAACAAACAGCATGTTATTATACAATCACCTACAGTATACACATACCCAGTGTCTGTTTGACCTTAACTTTGCAACACCCTCTTTCTACTATATACATCTGTACATGAATTTGAAAATTATAGCAGTTTTTTTTTCTCAAAATATTTTCTTAATTTTGGGGAAATAAATCTTTCTTTTTTTTTGCTATGGGAAGAAAAACTGTATTTGGTTGTAAAACTAACAAAATTAAACCACTCACACCTGAATACATAATAGAGTTCCTATGGGTTTCATGTGGCAAAATGTCTTTTTTGAGTAAGACTTCTTTCATACACTACAGATTGTGTTTAATATGTACCGGTATATACGTTCTTTATAGTATCACAATAGTAGATTTAGAGCTACTGTACATATCATAGGTTATATTCACATGAACAAATTTGAGATGTATCCTTTAAATGTAAGGTGCCAGGTCAGAGAAATAAGACAGGATACTATATATACAAATGGTGTATATTAATAATGATAAAACTGTATACAGGGAAATTGATCACTACAGTTAAATATTTCCTTTTCCGCCCGCTGTAATGAGGCCAAATGTATCGTTACAGAGAACATGAGTAACAACATAATATCAAACCAACTAAATGTGAAGGCGAAATTAGCACTGGGCGAATATAGGAATTATTCCAGAGAAGGACGAAGGTTTTACTGGGCGAAAATATCCCGGTTTAGAGTAATACTATTAAAGATATGGTTAGACATTATCATAAACTGATGATACACTTGAACCAAATGTTAAAAACTTTGCCTTTAGTAGGTTAAAGGAATTCAGGAAATACATAAGTGTCATCAAAGCAGACAAACAGGAAGAGCTATAATAAGGTCACTAAGGCAGGTTTACTGTTGTATATCCACGGTATACAGGTGGTCCTAATCAATGGATGGTCACTAAGGCACGTTTACTGTTGTATATCCACGGTATACAGGTGGTCCTAATCAATGGATGGTCACTAAGGCACGTTTACTGTTGTATATCCACGGTATACAGGTGGTCCTAATCAATGGATGGTCACTAAGGCACGTTTACTGTTGTATATCCACGGTATACAGGTGGTCCTAATCAATGGATGGTCACTAAGGCACGTTTACTGTTGTATATCCACGGTATACAGGTGGTCCTAATCAATGGATGGTCACTAAGGCACGTTTACTGTTGTATATCCACGGTATACAGGTGGTCCTTATCAATGGATGGTCACTAAGGCACGTTTACTGTTGTATATCCACAGTATACAGGTGGTCCTTATCAATGGATGGTCACTAAGGCACGTTTACTGTTGTATATCCACGGTATACAGGTGGTCCTAATCAATGGATGGTCACTAAGGCACGTTTACTGTTGTATATCCACGGTATACAGGTGGTCCTAATCAATGGATGGTCACTAAGGCACGTTTACTGTTGTATATCCACGGTATACAGGTGGTCCTAATCAATGGATGGTCACTAAGGCACGTTTACTGTTGTATATCCACGGTATACAGGTGGTCCTAATCAATGGATGGTCACTAAGGCACGTTTACTGTTGTATATCCACGGTATACAGGTGGTCCTAATCAATGGATGGTCACTAAGGCACGTTTACTGTTGTATATCCACGGTATACAGGTGGTCCTAATCAATGGATGGTCACTAAGGCACGTTTACTGTTGTATATCCACGGTATACAGGTGGTCCTAATCAATGGATGGTCACTAAGGCACGTTTACTGTTGTATATCCACGGTATACAGGTGGTCCTAATCAATGGATGGTCACTAAGGCACGTTTACTGTTGTATATCCACGGTATACAGGTGGTCCTAATCAATGGATGGTCACTAAGGCACGTTTACTGTTGTATATCCACGGTATACAGGTGGTCCTAATCAATGGATGGTCACTAAGGCACGTTTACTGTTGTATATCCACGGTATACAGGTGGTCCTAATCAATGGATGGTCACTAAGGCACGTTTACTGTTGTATATCCACGGTATACAGGTGGTCCTTATCAATGGATGGTCACTAAGGCACGTTTACTGTTGTATATCCACGGTATACAGGTGGTCCTAATCAATGGATGGTCACTAAGGCACGTTTACTGTTGTATATCCACGGTATACAGGTGGTCCTTATCAATGGATGTTCACTAAGGCAGGTTTACTGTTGTATATCCACAGTATACAGGTGGTCCTTATCAATGGATGGTCACTAAGGCACGTTTACTGTTTTATATCTACGGTATACAGGTGTTCCTAATCAATGATGGCCACTAAGGCACGTTTACTGTTGTATATCCACGGTATACAGGTGGTCCTAATCAATGGATGGTCACTAAGGCACGTTTACCGTTCGAGATCCACAGTAGACAGGGGGTCCTAATCAATGGATGGTCACTAAGGCACGTTTAATGTTGTATATCCACGGTATACAGGTGGTCGTTATCAATGGATGGTCACTAAGGCACGTTTAATGTTGTATATCCACGGTATACAGGTGGTCGTTATCAATGGATGTTCACTAAGGCAGGTTTACTGTTGTATATCCGCGGTATACAGGTGGTCCTTATCAATGGATGGTCACTAAGGCAGGTTTACTGTTGTATATCCGCGGTATACAGGTGGTCCTTATCAATGGATGGTCACTAAGGCTTGTTTACTGTTGTATATCCACGGTATACAGGTGGTCCTAATCAATGGATGGTCACTAAGGCAGGTTTACTGTTGTATATACGCGGCGTCTAGCCATATGACATCATATGGTTCACCTTTTATTTCTGTACATATGTAAATTTCATACTATGAGAACTATAAAGAATTTTTGTTTTCATTGCAGAACCACGATGGCAAATTACCCATGAGGATAAAAGCTGTCCCTGAGGGATCAGTGGTCCCATACAAAAATGTTCTCTTCACGGTGGAAAACACAGACCCAAAGTGTTTCTGGCTCACTAACTACTTTGAGGTGAGTGACTAGTCCTAGACCATCACTTAGTGAAATTTAACTGTTTTTTGTTCACTCAATCATTTGAAGTGCCGGCCCTAGACTTATCACTAGAAGTCTCACTGCATGTGTCAAAAGTCATTCTTGCCTCAGTTTCATTAAACATAAACATTTATGGTATAATTTTCATTTGACAAATATTGTTCATTGTAGACCCTGCTAGTTCAGACCTGGTACCCCATGTTAGGTTACTTCACCAGTGTATTGTTCATTGTAGACCCTGCTAGTTCAGACCTGGTACCCCATGTTAGGTTACTTCACCAGTGTATTGTTCATTGTAGACCCTGCTAGTTCAGACCTGGTACCCCATGACAGTGGCCACAAACTCCCGCTCCCAGAAGGAAGTTATTGCCAAGTACCTGGATGAGACTGCCGATAGTATGGATGGTCTGGGTTTCAAACTCCATGATTTTGGTTTTCGTGGATCTACATCTGTTGAGGTAACTTTAAACAAACTTGTGTGATCTTAGCAATAGCTGCATTTAAATATAAAGAGAGTTCTAAGTTTAAAAATAATAACATTATTTAATAGCATTCAATAGATAATTAGCGAAACAAATTCTACATGTGTCAACTCAAACAGAATTATCTCCCTTCAGTATGTTGGAAAAATCTGACAATATGTGTCAAGGTAAAGCAAGTGATCTCCCTTTCAGTCTGCTGGGATAGGTGGAACTGCACACTTGGTGAACTTCTGTGGTTCAGATACAATTACTGCGATCACCACAGCCAAAAGGTTTTACGGCTGTGATATGGCAGGCTTCTCCATACCTGCAGCAGAGCACAGGTATGTATGTATTCTGCTGCTTAGTTTTCCAGTTAGCTAAGGAAAGGTAAAATATAATGAGAGCATGGATTACCAAATTTCAGGAATTATCAGGAAATTTCAGGATGTCACGCTTGATGACTTTTGAAGTGGAAAGCTTATGTGCAAGATGTCTCATGAACCCCTCAACAAATCATGCTTATATATACTGCATAGTATAATAGTAGTGTAGCATTGAGTTATACTCATGGTTAGATTTTAATTGCCATAGGTCAAAGATAAAGGGTCAAATGTCATGGGCAAAACATCCGTCTGTAGTAAAAGAAACTTGTGTACAAGAAATCGTATGAACCCCAGTTGTGGGGGATATATTTATGTGAGCCCCCACTCGCTTCTATTTTGCCTCTTTTTCATCTCATTCATTTCGATGGTAAAATTTAGTACAGATCTGCATAAAGTTTATCCATTAGGATGTTTATCCATTAGGAAAATGTAATGTTAACACTGGCTGGATTTGAAGATTTAAGGATGAATATTTGACTGAGCAAGTTTTTCCCATTCTATAGGGTAACTGTTTAAGTGTAGTTCCATTCTTCAAATAAGTAAATAAAAACTTAAGATACACAACATTTGATATAGCGCCCTATCAAGCTAGAATAAGCCACTCTAAAGCGCTTTACAGTACATAGATGTACAATCAATACAATTAGCATATACATTAATCAATGAGGAGTTTGTAGGAGCTGCCTTATCAGATGCTTACTACTAGTCCTATGCCACCTGGCTGATATCTCCCTATGTGTGTATGCCTGCGCGTGTGCTGGAGATGTATTGTACATACTTAAGTAGTTGTAGATATTAAGCATATGGAGACTGGATGTAAATAAAGTTGTTACCTCACTGAAGCCAAAAGGGTGGCGTCTTTCATCCATCCTTCTGTTCATCAGTCATCCACCCTTCTGTTCATCAGTCATCCATTCTTCTGTTCATCAGTCATCCACCCTTCTGTTCATCAGTCATCCACCCTTCTGTTTATCAGTCATCCACCCTTCTGTTCATCAGTCATCCATCCTTCTGTTCATCAGCCATCCACCCTTCTGTTCATCAGCCATCCACCCTTCTGTTCATCAGTCATCCACCCTTCTGTTCATCAGCCATCCATCCTTCTGTTCATCAGTCATCCATCCTTCTGTTCATCAGTCATCCATCCTTCTGTTTATCAGTCATCCATCCTTCTGTTTATCAGTCATCCATCTTTCTGTTCATCAGTCATCCATCCGGTGTCTGTCCAGCATCAACACTTTCCTTGAATGGTCTTTTTGTTGAAAACTGTTAGCCTCAGAGTGATGATGTTTGGCCAGTACTTAGAAGGTACCTGGAGTAGATCGAGTGCTTTAAATGTCCCTCATATGAATGACTTCCACCTACTTTAAGGTCACAGGGGTCTGTGGGTCAAATGTTTGAGACCCCCATCCTATAACATATATGTTCTTGTTGTGTGTGAAGAAATAAATACCATCAGGCTACCGGGAAGGTCCCATCCCTAGGGACTCCATTCCATGGTCAGGGTGAGTAGTTCAAGCTCATTGGCCTCTTGTGTTGAAAAAAACGTGCTTAATCTTTATATAACCATTTTACCAGCACATTTTCCTATTCTTTTTTGAAACATTTGAAGCATTAACAGAGTTGTTTTACCATTTCAGTACAATAACAACATGGGGACGGGATGGCGAGAAGGAGGCATTCATTAACATGCTCACTCAGTTCCCAAATGGGCCAATGGCCTGTGTCAGCGACAGCTATGATATTTGGAATGCATGTGAAAATGTGTGGGGAAAGGAGCTCAAAGACATGATAATTACAAGAGGACAGAATGGTGGGGTACTTGTGGTGCGACCAGACTCGGGGGATCCAGCAGAGGTTGTCATTAAGGTAAGGGACAAAAAATATTTATACACAAGTGTTTCATGATACATAAAATAAGCTGAATTACCCAAAGGAGGAACAGGCATGTTTTTGTGCAGGAATAAGGTGTTTTCTGTGGTTACCATCTCTGTCATTCTAAAAAAGTCACTCAGAAACTGAATTTCTGTCTCAGTTTAAATTTGACACCACATTTGTTGATTAATGTTAACAGTATAACAGAAAACTCCAATAGATTCAGATTGCAAAATATTCCGACTGTAATAGTTGCCACTTTAATACCACCTATAGAGTTAGTTTAGAGACAGCAAGTGTACAAATGTAAGGTGAATATAGTTTAGCAAAATATAGATAAACATTTAACTAAACATTCCTGGAATTTTAGTAGGTTACCTTTTACCTTACAAAATTGTGAATTTTTCCTAAGGTTATTAAAACGGCAAAATTAATACATTTTAATATTATGTAGGTGCTGAACATCCTTGGAAATGCATTTAAGACGACAGAGAACAGCAAGGGTTATAAAATGTTACCACCTTACCTGAGAGTTATACAAGGGGATGGCATCAGCTATGAAAGTCTGGGTGAAATCCTGGAAGCCATGAAGTCTAATGGATGGAGTGCAGACAACATTGTATTTGGGAGTGGAGGAGCTCTGTTACAAAGAATGGACCGAGATACACAGAAATGTGCCTACAAATGTAGCTACGCTGTTATAGGCGGCAAGGAGGTACAGTATCAGGTTTAGCTACTCTGTTCAAGGGATATTTTATTGGGACTACTTCTTTGATCTGTCGGTTTTGTTATAAAAAATCCTTTTGTTCATTAAACATAACACTCAAAAATCACAGGAATAGTTAAATGGGTTTTTAACGGCTTATTTTCAAATACAACAAGGCTTGAAATCATAACTTTTAGCCTGTAGCTGGCTGGGATGGAGATTTGTCAAGTTTGTTCAACTTAATGACCTTGACCTACATTCAAGGTAGCAGGGTTCAAATCTGTTAAAAACCTTCAAGCAACCTTTTTCAACAGGACTAGGAGGCCAAGTATAATGATAATTGGTTTATATCTCACTGGGAGAAAAGCTATCAAATGTGTTCTAACAAATGATCTTAACCAATATTTAAAATCATATGATTATCATATTTTGAAATCTTGAAACAATCTCTTCTAATGAACTATGATTCTTAGAATAACAACACGTTTCTCTATTGAGGAGCTTTTAGGGTTATACATAACCACACTCAAGGTAAACTTGATAAATGTATCAAAATTCTTCTAGTTGACCATGAGACAAAAATGTATGATAATTACCATGTAGTCTGCAGCATGCTACAACAGTAGTGAATTACCATGTAGTCTGCAGCATGCTACAACAGTAGTTAATTACCATGTTGTCTGCAGCATGCTACAACAGTAGTTAATTACCATGTAGTCTACAGCATGCTACAACAGTAGTTAATTACCATGTAGTCTGCAGCATGCTACAACAGTAGTTAATTACAATGTAGTCTGCAGCATGCTACAACACTAGTTAATTACCATGTATTCTGCAGCATGCTACAACAGTAGTAAATTACCATGTAGTCTGCAGCATGCTACACCAGTAGTTAATTACCATGTAGTCTGCAGCATGCTACACCAGTTGTTAATTACCATGTAGTCTGCAGCATGTTACAACAGTAGTTAATTACCCTGTAGTCTGCAGCATGCTACAACACTAGTTAATTACCATGTAGTCTGCAGCATGCTACAACAGTAGTGAATTACCATGTAGTCTGCAGCATGCTACAACAGTAGATAATTACCATGTAGTCTGCAGCATGCTACAACAGTAGCTAATTACCATGTAGTCTGCAGCATGCTACACCAGTAGTTAATTACAATGTAGTCTGCAGCATGCTACAACAGTAGTTAATTACCATGTAGTCTGCAGCATGCTACAACAGTAGTAAATTACAATGTAGTCTGCAGCATGCTACAACAGTAGTTAGGGTGAATGGCTATTATATAAGTGCCATGTTATTTCTCCGTTGACCAAACTTGAAGAATAATGAGCCATTATTTTTAATAGAGGAACCATATTGTAATCAGATGTGTGATTATTCCTATTTTTATGTACATGTTGATGTGCCTATAGTACCATAGCTGCCGAAACTTAACCCAAATTGTTAAGACAATTTAACCAGAACAATTTAAAAGTTTAATGGTTTAGTGTTTACACACTTCAATCTTGATGTGACCTTTCTATTCTTCCAAATATGCATTTTGGCTAATAAGGGGAGACAAATTTCTAGTTTGAAGAGTGATGCTCTCCTGTTACAGGTTAATGTGTATAAGAACCCTATCACAGACGTGGGAAAGAAGAGTAAGAAGGGACGATTGACATTAGAGTACGAAAATGGAAAATATACGACTGTGGAGGAAGGAAAAGGCAACCCAACTCTGGTAGGTAGTGCTGTCATGTAACGTACTAAATATTGTAGGTAGTGATGTCATGTAACTTACCAACTCTGGTAGGTAGTGCTGTCATGTAACGTACTAAATATTGTAGGTAGTGCTGTCATATAATGTACTAAACATTGTAGATAGTGCTGTCATAAAACTTACTAAATATTGTAGGTAGTGCTGTCTTGTAACTTACTAAATATTGTAGGTAGTGCTGTCATAAAACTTACTAAATATTGTAGGTAGTGCTGTCATAAAACTTACTAAATATTGTAGGTAGTGCTGTCTTGTAACTTACTTAATATTGTAGGTAGTGCTGTCTTGTAACTTACTAAATATTGTAGGTAGTGCTGTCTTGTAACTTACTAAATATTGTAGGTAGTGCTGTCATGTAACGTACTAAATATTGTAGGTAGTGCTGACATGTAACTTACTAAACATTGTAGATAGTGCTGTCATGTAACTTACTAAATATTGTAGGTATAGTGCTGTCTTGTAGCTTACTAAATATTGTAGGTAGTGCTGACATGTAACTTACTAAACATTGTAGATAGTGCTGTCATGTAACTTACTAAATATTGTAGGTGGTGCTGTCATGTAACTTACTAAATATTGTAGGTAGTGCTGTCATGTAACTTACTAAATATTGTAGGTATAGTGCTGTCTTGTAGCTTACTAAATATTGTAGGTAGTGCTGTCATGTAAGGTACTAAATATTGTAGGTAGTGCTGTCATGTAACGTACTAAATATTGTAGGTAATGCTGTCATGTAACTTACTAAATATTGTAGGTAGTGCTGTCATGTAACTTACTTAATATTGTAGGTATTGTCGGACAGTACTTAACATCTAATTTCAACAATTGAAGATATTTCAGAATTATGTAATGCACCTCTCACAGTCGACAAGAAATATAGTGCAAAATTTTCAGTGAAATATTGTACAGGCTGAAACAGTTAAGCCATTAAACTATTATCAGTTACAACTCGTTTAGTATAGAATGTTGCACTTATGATGAGGCTACTGATTTAGAGACACTCTTTATATGGTCATAGGCTGCTGATTTAGAGACACTCTATATATGGTCATAGGCTGCTGATTTAGAGACACTCTATATATGGTCATAGGCTGCTGATTTAGAGACACTCTATATATGGTCATGATTCTGAGAAGTACTGTTCATATACTTTAGTATTGCTGAACACGTAGGTTGTCTAACATGTACTGTTTATTAGGTGTCTAACATGTACTGTTTATAAGGTGTCCAACATGTACTGTTTATAAGGTGTCCAACATGTACTGTTTATAAGGTGTCCAACATGTACTGTTTATAAGGTGTCTAACATGTACTGTTTATAAGGTCCCTAACATGTACTGTTTATAAGGTGTCTAACATGTACTGTTTATAAGGTCTCCAACATGTACTGTTTATAAGGTGTCCAACATGTACTGTTTATAAGGTGTCTAACATGTACTGTTTATAAGGTGTCTAACATGTACTGTTTATAAGGTGTCCAACATGTACTGTTTATAAGGTGTCCAACATGTACTGTTTATAAGGTGTCTAACATGTACTGTTTATAAGGTGTCTAACATGTACTGTTTATAAGGTGTCCAACATGTACTGTTTATAAGGTGTCCAACATGTACTGTTTATAAGGTGTCTAACATGTACTGTTTATAAGGTGTCTAACATGTACTGTTTATAAGGTGTCCAACATGTACTGTTTATAAGGTGTCCAACATGTACTGTTTATAAGGTGTCTAACATGTACTGTTTATAAGGTGTCTAACATGTACTGTTTATAAGGTGTCCAACATGTACTGTTTATAAGGTGTCCAACATGTACTGTTTATAAGGTGTCTAACATGTACTGTTTATAAGGTGTCTAACATGTACTGTTTATAAGGTGTCCAACATGTACTGTTTATAAGGTGTCCAACATGTACTGTTTATAAGGTGTCTAACATGTACTGTTTATAAGGTGTCTAACATGTACTGTTTATAAGGTGTCCAACATGTACTGTTTATAAGGTGTCCAACATGTACTGTTTATAAGGTGTCTAACATGTACTGTTTATAAGGTGTCTAACATGTACTGTTTATAAGGTGTCCAACATGTACTGTTTATAAGGTGTCCAACATGTACTGTTTATAAGGTGTCTAACATGTACTGTTTATAAGGTGTCTAACATGTACTGTTTATAAGGTGTCCAACATGTACTGTTTATAAGGTGTCCAACATGTACTGTTTATAAGGTGTCTAACATGTACTGTTTATAAGGTGTCTAACATGTACTGTTTATAAGGTGTCCAACATGTACTGTTTATAAGGTGTCCAACATGTACTGTTTATAAGGTGTCTAACATGTACTGTTTATAAGGTGTCTAACATGTACTGTTTATAAGGTGTCCAACATGTACTGTTTATAAGGTGTCCAACATGTACTGTTTATAAGGTGTCTAACATGTACTGTTTATAAGGTGTCTAACATGTACTGTTTATAAGGTGTCCAACATGTACTGTTTATAAGGTGTCCAACATGTACTGTTTATAAGGTGTCTAACATGTACTGTTTATAAGGTGTCTAACATGTACTGTTTATAAGGTGTCCAACATGTACTGTTTATAAGGTGTCCAACATGTACTGTTTATAAGGTGTCTAACATGTACTGTTTATAAGGTGTCTAACATGTACTGTTTATAAGGTGTCCAACATGTACTGTTTATAAGGTGTCCAACATGTACTGTTTATAAGGTGTCTAACATGTACTGTTTATAAGGTGTCTAACATGTACTGTTTATAAGGTGTCTAACATGTACTGTTTATAAGGTGTCTAACATGTACTGTTTATAAGGTGTCTAACATGTACTGTTTATAAGGTGTCTAACATGTACTGTTTATAAGGTGTCTAACATGTACTGTTTATAAGGTGTCTAACATGTACTGTTTATAAGGTGTCTAACATGTACTGTTTATAAGGTGTCTAACATGTACTGTTTATAAGGTGTCTAACATGTACTGTTTATAAGGTGTCTAACATGTACTGTTTATAAGGTGTCTAACATGTACTGTTTATAAGGTGTCCAACATGTACTGTTTATAAGGTGTCCAACATGTACTGTTTATAAGGTGTCTAACATGTACTGTTTATAAGGTGTCTAACATGTACTGTTTATAAGGTGTCCAACATGTACTGTTTATAAGGTGTCCAACATGTACTGTTTATAAGGTGTCTAACATGTACTGTTTATAAGGTGTCTAACATGTACTGTTTATAAGGTGTCTAACATGTACTGTTTATAAGGTGTCTAACATGTACTGTTTATAAGGTGTCTAACATGTACTGTTTATAAGGTGTCTAACATGTACTGTTTATAAGGTGTCTAACATGTACTGTTTATAAGGTGTCTAACATGTACTGTTTATAAGGTGTCTAACATGTACTGTTTATAAGGTGTCTAACATGTACTGTTTATAAGGTGTCCAACATGTACTGTTTATAAGGTGTCCAACATGTACTGTTTATAAGGTGTCTAACATGTACTGTTTATAAGGTGTCTAACATGTACTGTTTATAAGGTGTCCAACATGTACTGTTTATAAGGTGTCCAACATGTACTGTTTATAAGGTGTCTAACATGTACTGTTTATAAGGTGTCTAACATGTACTGTTTATAAGGTGTCCAACATGTACTGTTTATAAGGTGTCCAACATGTACTGTTTATAAGGTGTCTAACATGTACTGTTTATAAGGTGTCTAACATGTACTGTTTATAAGGTGTCCAACATGTACTGTTTATAAGGTGTCTAACATGTACTGTTTATAAGGTGTCTAACATGTACTGTTTATAAGGTGTCTAACATGTACTGTTTATAAGGTGTTTAACATGTACTCGTCTAACCTTTTCCTTTTCTGTCTCTCCTAGGATGCATTGGTTACTGTGTTTGAAAATGGCAAGTTACTAAAAGATTATACGTTTGCTGAGGTGAGAGAAAATGCAGAGCTGGAACTTGTAAGACAAAGGAGGGGCCAGAGCAGCTGTAAGGTTTAGGCCCTGTCCAGGTTTAAAACTCGCCGAACGGGGACCATAGTGCGGTGTTTAAAGTCAGAAGCATTGTAGCAGAGATTTCCATCGCCTATAACATCACAAATAACATATACAAATATGATATCATTTTAAAGTTCTCACTGGCTGTAGAATCTACTAGATGGATGTTGAAATAGAATTCTGATACACAATCTTAAACAGACTGCTGTGTAGAAAAGACAGAAAGGTGTTCTTTGTATTATTTCAATTTTTAGAAACAATAAGGTTGTTGGTACAGGAACAATATAGATCATGACTAGTATATTATGATGATATTTTCCAGAGTTACACTTTACACTTTCGCGGTGTGATTGTTAAGAATCATTATACGTTAGAGTCCACTGTTATGGTTCAGTTCATGTCATCCTTTCCGAAGTCTTGGTTTTCCTCTTTTTAAATATATAATCACGCTTTATTGTCAGTATCTCAACCTTTAAAGTTAGAACTTATATGTGCTGGCATATAACAGAGCAAAAGAGTGAACAGGTTTTCCCTAAAATGACCCGAAGGTTAGTTTTTACACCCGAAGGTTAGTTTTTACACCCGAAGGTTAGTTTTTACACCTGTGTTTGGTATCAAACATGACACCAAATCATGAAATGGCTTAATTATGAGAATGTTTACCCTGATGATCTTTTCTGTGTTATGACAGTGAATATTTATAGGTAATACAGTATATAAAATCTGATTCCATTTTTATTTTTTTATGTACTTGTGATGTTGGTTCAATTTCACAGGAATTATTGTTCTGTTGATATCACATTTTACTTATCTACTCATTCACCCCTGACATTTCATAATGAACTATTCCTACCNTTATCTCCCCTATATAAACACAGGAAATGTCTACATGTCTAAGATATTGACATATTGATGAAGTTATCTCCCCTATATAAACACAGGAAATGTCTACATGTCTAAGATATTGACATATTGATGTAATTATCTCCCCTATATAAACACAGGAAATGTCTACATGTCTAAGATATTGACATATTGATGATCTTTTGATTTTGTCCTCCGACATTGAAGCAGTTTATAATGGTCGATCAATCATCTCCACTTGTTTTATGATATTTTTATTTGTGAGAGTGTTTCTTTGCAGATGTGTGTTGATTTCCTGTATCAGATACTGTATAGATTTATTTATGTAAAAGATAAATAATATATGTTACCATTTTCTAAGCAATATTTTTATGACTATATTCAGTTTTTTTGATGGATAAAATTTTATTATTTGAAAGATATAATGCCTTATGCTTAAGAGTTTTCCTATTAATACCACAAATGAAATGAGATTTGAACTGTCTGTATTATAGCGGACTGTCGCTTAGTGTGAGCAACTTCTAAAGTGAACGTTTTAGTCCAACAATCAATGTGTACTAAGCTACTTGTGTTCCCAATACAATGACTGAAAAGTGCTACTTACATTTTTCCTCACCCACTTCACAGGTGCTTTCCCATTTACACTTAACAGGGTTAAATATTGTATTGTGTTGATCTACCTCCATTAAGATAGATCACACATGCCTTTAACCTAGAATGTCACTGATTAACCCAAGGCTTTTGTCATCACATAAGCAGTGTTACCATTCTTGTTTGGTTTGAGTCATTAATTTTGTTACATATTTCATGTGCGATTTATGATGTTGAGGTGCATATATTTTTACTGTAGATAGGTTTAGGAGAAAAAGCTATAACCCCTTAATGGATCAAGATCCCTCTTTTGCAGGGAAGAAGCTGTATAAACATCAGGTTGGGGGAGGGGCGTTGACTCCTGGACCCCACCTATTCAGAAACCTGGATCTGCAATTTTTTAAGACATTATAACAGTAAGATGTTATTAATAAAATACTCTCCATAGTTTTATCAATCAGTTTTTGTTCATAATAACAGGAAAATCTTACTTAAAATGTATTTTCAGACCTACTTAAATGTAAGTTTTAGATGGGATCAATTTCTAAATGTTTCTGCCAAGATGCAAACAAAATACAATAACAGGATTTCCACATGACTTCCAAAACATGACTATGCTTTACTTTTATGAAACTCAATACATGTACTAAACTTATCTCACCAGTAAAACCTCATTGTTAAAGAAATTTCATTTGTATGCAAGTTTGTCCATCCGTCCAGCTTGAGGTTAAAGCCTGTTTTTGTCCAACTATTGACCAGGTCATCAGTCAACATCTGAAGATGACTGTAGAAAGTTGTAATGTAGAATTGACTTTAAATGATCACTGAACATTGAGGTGCTTACTCTGTTCATAAATTGAAAGTATATTATAGATATACAATACTGTCCCGAATATCCCAAACCATGAAGAAAGGCCTTCTGTATGCTTATGAGATTACCTGAGCCAAATGCTAAAGTGACCTTTTGTGGCCCTGTTTCTGTCCGTTGTCGTGGTGCACTGTCCGCTGTCCGCTCATGTGTTGTAGATTTGACCAGTACCAGTAGTTACATACATGTAGCTAGCCTGTTAATGTCCGACCATAACACCAGTTAACTAACTTAATGGCCTACACCCACAGGCAGATATCCAGGTACAACTTGATATGTCCTCAGTAAATATGATAACAAGTGTGTCAATGTATCCATGAACAATGCTTACTGAAATAACATCAGAATAACCTGTATAAATATAATTCAAACAATTTCACTTTAACTTTTCTTAAGTTTGAGATATGTCCTTATAATGTTAACTATGCTGACTGAGATGTTACTTGTTAACACTGTTTATCTATACCATGTGTTATAAAACCCTAAGTGTGTAGTTTTATGTTCACTTCATGATATGTATATTTGTATGATTTTATTGCGCCAACCAACGTTAAATACATGTTATTTATATTGATAATATACAACCACTTTAACCATCTGAAATATACCAATCTATCATAGCCACAAATCTACCATCGCCACAACTATAAAAATCTACAATTGACACAACTTTACTATACAAATCTACCATCGCCACAACTATACAAATCTACAATTGACACAACTTTACTATACAAATCTACCATCGCCACAACTATAGCATAGGCGACTCCAAACCACCCCCTGCGGGAAGGCAACTTCCCTCACGCCGACAGAACACCGACTTCCGTCAGTGAGACGGATTCATGTAGGCGCAAAACCCTTCAACCAACCAACCAACAACTTTACTATACAAATCTACCATTGCCACAACTATACAAAGATCTACCATTGTCACAAATAAACAAATCAAATCTAATATTGTCACAACTATACAAATCTACCATTGCCAAACTTTACCATTATCACAAGTTGACAATACAAATTTACATCTCTTAACTTTGCATAACTAACAAAACTATACCTTCACAAGTATACTCTGCCAAATCGTTACTATACAACCATAAGGTAGAACCAATTTCAAAAATATACCATTTTCACGTTTTTACACATCTACCATTTCCACATCTTTCCTATATCAATTTACCCATTCCACATCTTTACAATTATACCATTGCCACCGGTCATCTGTATAAACATCAACATGACGTGGCTGTAACAATCCTCATGAGGGTTATGACACAGAAAGGTCAATCATAACTGGCTGATTTTGTCATAGTTTGTTAAACCTCACAAAACTTAAAACAGAATATGCAGTGTTTTGGATTCATTTTCAAATTATTTGCACAACAATACCCGCATATCTTCACATAGTTCTTATATTATCGCTTTTAGCGAATGCAGTCTGGCGCCTTGCCTTGCCTAGTCCCAGCCTTCCAATTTAGTTACTGGCAGGGAATGATCAATGTCTCTTGTTATTACTGATATCATGACGTAGACCACCAAATAAAGTGATTTCATGCATAGATGAAACTAAAATGAAATATGCTTGTATAATTGTAGAGTGATAATTTACTAAACAAAGTGTGTCATAAGAACCAAGTATCAATTAAAAACGAGTCACGCTCTAATTATGATAATTATTTAGCAGTACTTGACGTGATATTCACTCCGAATTAAAAAAATGAATCTGTCTGAAGTTTTACTTCGAATCTAACAGTGAGTCTAACTTACAGTTAAATCTGCAACGTGAAATTTATGATAAAGCACAGCTATCTATATTCACGCGTGTTAAAATTTGTGAGGATATCGGTTTTGGTAGCGTATTTCATGAAATCCAGAAATGTCATCGGGTACTAGAAAATGTACCTTGTATATGTGTTTGGTATGACACAGATCCATGCGTGTTTTCCTTGGTTGAATACGATAAGTCACCAGGTCACACACGTTATAAGGCATTGTTACATGTTGTAGTCGTTTCAAAGTGTCAACGTCACATAGGCCACATTTATTGATCGCAATGCAAACGGTTGGACCAGAGTTGTTCACGAAAGGCGCCATAATGTGAGGTCTGTAATCGAGGTTGTTAACGATATTTGTCTTTGACCCTGAATCACGTTTACATATACAAATTATGCTATTGATTAATATCATACCACTTTGATTTGAGCACCAATATTACATTATGTAAAAGTACTTATTAGATGATATATCTTTCCTTACTAAGTAATATAAGATCATTTATTAAGTAAGTTGATCAGTTTTTAATTAGTACTGTGTTATGAGCTGTCTGCAATGTTTTAATGTCAGTGATGCAATTTAGCACAATATTATGCATGTTATGCAAAGAAGCTACATTATCCCAACCTTCAAACCTAGCTGAGAGCTGTACCTGATTGATGTAACAAATATATAATGATTGAAATGGTTTGATAAAGAACATGATGTGTAGGATGTATGTGGGCCCCTCAGTCAGACATATAATCGAGGGCTATCAAATTAATGATGAGGATTAACATTAAATGAATGGCAGGCACGTAATGTGCGCATAGGTCCTTCTGAGACGTCAAAGTCGATCGTGAGTAGTGTTTGGATAAAGAGTTTGAAAGACTTCACCATATATATATATATTGCCACGTTTGTACTTCACCAGATATATATATATATTGCCACGTTTGTATGTAAACATTTGTATAAGTTTGATACGCGCTGTAATATGTTCTATGTGCGCTTGAGCAGAACAAACTACAAATAAACATCATGATGAATTGCATGTGACGTTTTCGTCTGTAAACTCAACAACATACAAATGAAAAATAAAGAACGAGAATTTCAAGCTATTCGAACCAAATATTTATGAAGCTAGTGCAACATTTGAACTGAAAAAACAAGGATAATATACCAGGTATTTCTTCAGGTTAAGCATCTTCATCTTATTCACTGATGCCGCTCATGTAAATAAAGTTCAAATCACAGTAAAGTCATTTTTAGTTCAAATGAATGACCTTGACTTATATTCAAGGTCACAGGGTTCAAATATGTTTAAAACCTGTAAACAACTTCTTCTGAATAACCAAGAAGCCTAGGAAAATGATATTTGGCCAGTAACATGCTGGGATGAAGGGCTAACAAGTTTGTTCAAACAAACGTCCTTCATCTATTTTCAAGGTCACAGGGGTCAAATATGTTTAAAACCTTTGAAATAACTTCTGAATATCCAAGAGGCATAGGCTAATGACATTTGGCCAGTATCATGCTCAGATGAAGGGCTACCAAGTTTATTCAAATGAATTACCTTCATCTATTTTCTAGGTCACATGGGTCAAATATGTTTAAAAACTTTAAACAACTTCTCAATAACCAAAAGGCCTTGGATGATGATATTTGGCCATTAACATGCTGGGATGAAGGGCTACCAAGTTTGTTCAAATGAATGACCTTTGTTCATATTCAAGGTCACAGGGATCAAATATGTTTAAATCTTTAAAT